GGCATTGGTGTTGACATCATCACTCGCTGGTCGTCAAGTTGTCTGGTTGCTTTCATACTGTAGTTGTAGTGATAGGCTATAGAGTAGGTAGGGCGTCTGGCGCCATTCAAGAGAGAGAGCTACATTGGGTTATGCTGTTGGTGTTGCCCTGTTGGGCTTGGACATTGACTCACGATTCTTCTGTATCGTTCTCAAATAGATGGTTACTCGGTTCCATTGTGCTATCTGCTCTTGCTTTGACTACTTGGACTTCGGTGTGATTTTGCAACCTGGATTTTTGTGCTTCGTCCATATTCATGTTCCTTGCACTTTGGTATTGGAGCTGGTTTGATTCGCCACTTACCTTGGTGCGCTGGCGTTATACAGACTTGGTGCGTTGATGATGCTTCTTCGCAGTTGGTTCTTGTGACGTCAGGCCATGATTAGGCGCACAGCCTGGGTAGAGAGGTGTGCGCCGGAAGGCTAAGACGACATTAAGCCGTGGTGACAAGCGGAATGTATGATTGGTGATGAGAGTATGCTGATGTGGCATTCGACTGAGGTGGCATTGCATTGCGTTGTGGGTGGTACCTAGGCCAAGACCGGTCATCAAATGCACACTCAGCTCAATTGGTGAGAAATCTGTGGTTGGGGGCAGCTATCTCCAGGTACGTTGTTCCCTTACCTTATCTACTCTCTCAATCTCTTCTTACCGTGAGGAAGTGAGTCCAACTTGAGAGTCCTCTCTTTTGGTGAGGTGTCGTGAGCGCGCTACCTTGAGAGACGACAATCTTCCCGAAAGCATCTGGAAGGAGAAATGGCGGTGCCTCTGAAGGGCCCTGGTCAAAGCACTGGGTCACGGTCACCATGCCAACCCAATGGGAGTAGGTCACGCATGCGATGGCTGCTGTCCATTTTGGCACTTGCTGCACTGAATAGAAGTCCTGCCGGGTGTGCCAGCCTTTTATGAGACGCTTACCAGACCGTCTATAAACATTTCTGGTTGGGGACTCGGATTGAATCTGGTTGTAATCGTCGTCCTGACTGCGACGTTAAATAATTCTTGAAGAGATGGGGGCGCTCTTAAAATTCCTCCTGATCAGCCAGATCAACCGGGTGTAAGGCTCGTTCGGTACGAGGGTAAATAAGAGTGGACTGGCTGGCTTGCTCGGCAACGACTTGGGCACAGGGGTGGGCCGAAAACACACGCGAAGACACCGCTGCTCAATGATGCTTACCGGTATGTTGGATTGAGGGGAAGGGTAGGTTCTAATTGATGCTCAACTGGAAACACAACCATACCCACTATTCATACATCTGCAACATGGTCTTCTTTTATTCTTGATTAGTTGGTGGACAGACTGCTAACACCTCACAGACAGATTAGAGTAGCCAGTTCTATCTAATGCTGCTGTAAGTGAACCAATCAAGATAATTCTAGACTATGTTGACAATCTGTTGTGAATGTTGTAGGCTGCCACTTGATCGGTAAAGTAGGGGACCTGCTGGACACAACTATTTTTAGAAAATTAGGTGTCCGTCAGACACATGCTGTGGTAGGACTCCACTAGGGGGTTCTAGTGCAGATAGTGTTTGCCTAACTCATGAGCGGATCGAACAGCGATGAGGGGAGAGAGGACAATGTGAGACTTACACGTTCAGAAGCACTTAGGGTCCCGCACGTGTTCCAGACCCTGCAACTGGGAGACGAAGCACGGCTTCGTGCCGAACGTAGAGCCCGTGCTCTTGCAGCAGCGAGGGCAGAAGCGAACCTAGCAGCTAGGGAACAGGCTGCTGCAGCAAGCAGAGCAGTAGCAATGTCTAGCGCAGCGGCATCCTCTGCTGCATCGTCCGCAGTATCCTCGTCAGGGACCCATTTGGTATGCCCACAAGGTCCACGGGTACTTCCAGTTCAGTAGGTTCTCGACAATCTAAATGTCAAATGGCGGGCTTGCAGTTCAGCCCGTTGACCCCACGCGAAAGGGAGCTTCGAGAGCTCGAACAGGTCGAAAGGATCCGTGAACAATTAGAGAGGGAACTGAAGCAAGCAACCGATAGAGAGAACGAGATCAAATGGAGAGCAGCCAGGCTTGATACGTTAGAGGCAGACAAGGCTGCACTAGAGGGTTTGGATGAGACAACAATGTCTGACCAAATGAAAGTTTTCAAGAATAGCATGCTGTCACTGCAAGAGCATGTGGACAGCAGACTAGACTTCATGCAGAACTCTCTTGACCAGATCTTGGACCTTTTGCAAGGGCATGTATTTAGGCCAGCAGCACAGTCGTCGTTGCCGTTAACGGCGATGTCAGACCCATTTCCGGTACAAGCTGGCACGCAGCCAAGTGGTACGTCTGCAGCAGTCTCACAGACTGTTGCTACTTCTTCTTCAGGTCCAGCGGTGGGAGCTACACCACGGCAACAACCTGTTCCCCCACAGGGACAGCCGCAAGGTCTTTGGTACCCTAAGACCCCTATGAAACCGCCTCTTGCCTTTTCGGGCGAGAAGAAGGACGAAGAGCTCAACACTTGGTTGAGAACAGTTCCGGTTTGGGTTAAGGCAAAGAGGAGTTTGCAAGAGAAGGAGGTGATTACTGCTGCATCTTACCTCGAGGGTAAGGCAGCCAAATGGCTGGATGGTGTAGTGACAAAGGCTGGGTATGGACGACGCATGGCACACTGTGCTAGGACAATTACGTTAGACCTGTTCATGAAAATGGTAGAAGCTCGTTGGCACAATCCTCAGCAGGCACAAATGGCCACTGATGCGATAAACAGACTTGACCAACGAACGTTCAAGTCGGTCAGGGAGCTTACGACTACCATAAAGAGCCTCATCGTCGTTCCCGATATAAACTACAACAACCAGTTCCTATTAACCACGTTTGTGAGATGTCTACCAGAGAATCTCAGAAACTTGTTGGCCAGCGAGGCTCGCCTCGAGTATCACTCCTTTGCGACGTTGTCTAGGAAAGCCTTAGATTTGGAGGCCACTCTAGGAAACGCTCAACCTTCTCAGAATGACACGAGGAAGAAGAAGAGTCCGCAGGAATGGAAGAAGAAGGGGGCTAAACTGTTGATGGTTGAGTCCGATGGGACCCAAACCGAGATCGACGAGCTCACAGACCTGGTGGACATTTCAGAGTACGACCGCGAGGAGACCGCTGAGGGTAGTACCCTTGCCGCAATAGTTAAGACTAAGGCTGGTGGCCGAGTGAAGGGCCAACCAAAGAGTCAAGGGAAGGCCGCCTCCAATCAGACCAAAGTGGCTGATTGGGTTAAGGCAGGTCTTGATCAAGACGTGTGGCGGGACCGCCGAGTGCATGTCGCTTGTATAAACTGTGGTGAATACGGACACACCCAGTACAAGTGTCAGAACGCAAAGGTCACGCAGAAGATACCTCCTAAGATGGGGGCATCTTCTTCTCAGGCTTCTAGCTCGGGAAAGATGTGAGGCCGGTGGAAGTTTTAGCTGCTTCTACTCATGGTGAAGTGGGCCCGATACCCTCCCCACTTCATGAGCAGGCCATACCTAATGACTCTTCAGTCACCCCGCAGACTCATCTAGACCAAACTATGCTCTGTACGTTAGATGTGCCAAAAGCCTTAGAAGATTTGAAAAGCAAGTGGTCAAACAAGGACCCTTGCGAATCTTGGGTGACACTAAAGAAAGGTCCTAGAGCGGAACATTTCTTGGTGGAAGTGGATGTAGGAGGCCGCAAATGTGGTGCCTTCATAGAAATCGGGTCCACGCGGAATTATATAAGTCGCGACTGTTTGGAAAGGCTGCACCTACAGGACCGGGTACGGCACCTTAGTAGACCCGTAGCATCTACTTTGGCCAATAAGGAGCGCATGATAGTCACAGACTATATCAAGGACGTAGTCTGTACCTTCTCCTATGGAGGAGGGGAACTTAATCATAAGATTTGGTTCCTTGTTAGCGACGACTTACCATTCGACATGTTGTTAGGCATGTACTACCTTGAGGTTGCAAAGCCCCAGTTTGACTGGGACAAGAAGGTGCTAAAACATAAGTTGCCCGATGGAAGAACAATCAGATTGACTAAGTTCAAAGCCAGTAGCATTATAGATACCTATGGCTGCTTGTGTGCATCAACGTTCTATAACTATTACAAACAGAACCAAGAGGAGGGTATGTACCTAGTGTATGTCTCTGAGAAAGGGGAGGCCGTTAAAACACCCCTGGAGATAGAACATGTTGTTGCTAAGTTCCCTGATCTGTTCGAAGAGCCTACAGGAGTTGTAGAAAGGGAAGTTGTCCACGCTATAGAAATCATTACAGGGAGTAAAACCCCAAAGGGAAGGATCTATAGGATGACTCCCGCCGAGCTAGATGAACTTCGGCGACAACTGAAAGAGCTGACAAAGAAGGGATGGATCCGGCCTAGTACTTCCCCTTACAGATCTCCAGTACTATTTGTACCAAAGAAGGGGGGTACATTGAGGATGTGCATTGACTATAGAGGCCTCAATGCCATCACAGTGAAGAACGCAGAGCCTCTACCTCGCATAGACGACCTACTGGATAGGGTGCAGGGATGCAAGTACTATAGCAAGATAGACTTGAAATCCGGCTATCATCAGATCGCTATAAGACCTGAGGATCACAAGACAGCTTTTCAGACTCGATATGGTCTGTACGAGTTTGTAGTGATGCCCTTTGGTCTTTGCAATGCGCCGGGAACATTCCAGCACGCTTGAATCGGATCTTCCATGACCATTTAGATAAGTTTGTCGTGGTTTACCTTGACGACATTCTGATCTTTAGTAAGTCTGCCGAGGAGCATGCACAACACGTTGAGACTGTACTTTCACTCCTGCGACAGCACAAGTATAAGGTCAACCTAGAGAAGTGTGAGTTTGGTCGCACTAAGATATTATACTTGGGTCATGAAGTATCCGCGGAAGGGATTAGGCCGGACGATGCGAAGGTGGCTAGTATTCGAGACTGACCACGACCTCAAACTGTCACTGAGGTCAGATCTTTCTTAGGAATGTGCGGCTACTATAGGAACTTCGTAAATAACTATTCTACAATTGCCTCTCCTTTGATGGATCTAACTCGGCTTGACACGCCGTGGGACAAGAGTGACGAGTGCGAGGGTGCTTTCAAGCAATTGAAGCATGCACTCATGAATCATGAAGTTCTCATGGTTCGCGATCCTCAGAAGCCGTTCATAGTGACCACTAACGCAAGCCAATATGGCATTGGCGCAATGTTGGCTCATCAGGATGGGAAGAAGTTGAGACCGATTGAGTACATGAGTAAGAAGATGCCATCAAAGTCCACCTATGAAAGGGAACTCTATGCTCTCTACAAGGCACTTGTCCATTGGAAACATTTTCTGTTGGGACGATTCTTCTATTTGAGGACTGAGCATCAGACACTCAAATGGATCAAGACTCAACCGGCTCTTTCTGATGCACTCAAGCGATGGATTGAGGTCATAGATCAATATGACTTCAAGCTTGAGTATCTGAAGGGAAAGTACAACAAGGTTGCAGATGCGCTATCACGTAGGGCAGACTACCTAGAGGCGTTAGTTTCTCACTTTGGTGTATCGGAAGAAGTAACTCAATCGTTGGTGGGAGCCTATCAGGAAGACCCTGTCACGATGGACATCGTGCGCAAACTTCAGGCAAAAGACAAGGCCACGGAAAGTGAGTTTGTGATGGTGGACGGGCTTCTCTATCTTGATAAGGCCGGAGTTAAAAGGTTAGTAGTTCCATCTAGTGAACGTTTGCGTAGTTTGTTTTTAGGAGAATGCCATGACGCAACCGGGCACTTTGGTTACAAAAAGACGAGTGCTAATCTAGTACAACGATTTTGGTGGTCTGGAAATGCTAGATGACGCAAAGAAGTATGTAGAGACCTGTCAGGTCTGTCAGCGGGACAAGCCGCGAACTCAAGCACCGCTTGGGTTGTTGAAGCCCTTACCTATCCCCGCTGGTCCAGGACAGAGTGTTTCCATGGATTTCATGGACACCCTGGTGACCAGTAAGAGTGGCAAGAGGCACATTTTCGTCATCATCGATCGATTCACCAAGTACGCTAGACTAGTTGCCATGCCAGAGACCGCAAGGACTGACCATGTCATCCAGTTGTTCAAGGACAACTGGGTGCGTGACTTTGGCTTACCAAAGACAATCGTTAGTGACAGAGATGTCTGCTTCACAAGTGAGCTGTGGAAGAAGACTGCTGAGCAGATGGGCAGTTAACTTCAAATGACTTCAGGGAATCATCCCGAAGCCAACGGACAGGCCGAGCAAATGAACAAAGTTGTACAGCACCTGCTGAGGCATTACATCAAGCCCAGCCAGGATGACTGGGATGAGCAGTTGCCTCTCATCGCCAGCCTGTACAACAACGCTGTACACAGCAGTACCGGCGTTAGTCCTAACCAGCTGCACTTGGGATGGAAGCCTAGATCCGCTCTAGACTTCCTCCTACCTGAAAACCGATCCTCCGCAACTCCAGGCACACTTGAGTATGGTGTGCATTATGAGAAGTTGCTGCAGCAAGCTGTCGAGCACATCAAGAAAGCTCAGGAAGCAATGATTTCTTCTGAGAACAAGCATCGACGACAATCCTCATTTCAGGTAGGGGAAAGTGTCTGGTCAAGGCTAGTGAGTTGGGACAAGAATTCGGGATCTCTCGTAAACTAATGCCTCAGTATTTTGGTCCCTGGGAAGTCCTGGATGTAGTAGGGAATGAGATGGATGGTCCTACCTATGTTATCCGTATCCAGGGACACCTACGCACTCACCCTGTCTTTCATGCCTCAAAGCTTGCACCTTTCGTTGAGACTGATCAATTCCCTTCAACGAGATCGATGCTGCCCCCAACCATGGATGGTCCAAGTGGACATCGACGACATTGTGGATCACAGAGATATGCCTGTTCAGAAGCCATTGGGTAGGGGAAGACCTCCTAAATCCAAAAGAGAATATCGCGTCAGATTCAGGCATCATACGGATCCAAAAGAAGACCGGTGGTTCACCAGAGAGGAACTGATTGACACAGCTCCTCAGGTGGTGGCAGAATATGAGAGGATGCTAAAACGGAAGGCACCTGCGAASTAAGCATCTCAGCGGACTTTCGAAGCTAAGGGGGATGGAATGTGAGGATTGAGCCCTCAAGAAGGGGCCTTGCCGTGATGTACATATTCTGGGCTAAGGCCCCCAGCAAGCCTCGTGCCCGCCCTAAGTGAAGGCGGGCCAGCAAATCAACAAGAGCCCTCTGTGCAAACATTTC